GTGTAGGCCTGTGCTTATTCCTGAGACACGGTTTGCAGAAAGACTCCGCCTTTCGTGATGGAATTCAGGTGGGAGCAAAGGTTCCCTGGGTCTTGGGAAGGACAAAGCCAGGTCTCCTCCGAGGGATACTCGTGCTAGGAAAGAGTGGCGGGATCAGGTTCTTAAACTGTGATTGCAGTGTGTTAAGGAGTCACGTTGGGGACAATTATTAATGGACTTGTGTGACAGGAAACGTTTTGACAAACTCACACTGGAACTGTTTATTTCAATTATAATTTTGGAGAATTAGAATGAGCACTTACAGCCTGGTGCCAAATGGAGACAATTGGCTTTTCTCAATCAAATCATTTCAGAACTTCTGTTAGATTAAAATTTACAGTTTCAACTGTTTATCCCAAATTTCTGGTGAAAATAAATATTGTGAATATGTCCCATGGGAATAGATTTTATAATATTTGCTTAGTTTTAATTCTCAGCTGCTGTACATTTATATCATTCCTATGACTGCTGTACAGCTATTGAGTTTTTATCAGTTAGGATTATAGATTATTTTGAAGTGCTTTTGTTAAATCTGCAATGAAAAAATATTAGGCACTTTTTTTTAGGACCATCTGAAATGTCCCACTTAGAAACTGAAAAGTTTCTACATGTTAATCCTAAATGAGTATTTATTGATTTTTAACTCAGGGCATGCAAAATTTCACATACTTTTTGTGTGTGAACCTCACGTGGCTTTCTTTTAACCAATTTTCAAAAAGCAGCAGTTTGCCCAGAAAACAGAAACACTTTTCTTCCCCAAATACAGATAATGATAAAGGCTAAAGTTTAGTTCTGCACTCTGTGCTTATGAAAGCACTTCAGCACACGTGATCCTTATAAAATCTGAGGGGTCTTCTGTGATAGAGTTACTCAGATGTTGAAGTGTTTTCAAGCCTGTTCATAGGTTTGCCCAGATTTATTTAAAAAGTAGCAGAGGATCCCTTCATTTTGTGTTTGCTGCCAAAAGCAGCAGTAACATCTCTGGCCCTGATGCTCATTTACTTTAAGGTCTCTTTAGCTGGTTTTGGCAGCGGAAAGGAGCCTTAAAATAGGTGTGAATTATATCCTACCCCACTTGAAGTTTAAAAATAAACCAAAGAATGGAGGTTGGCAGCACTTTGTGTAGTTCCTTGCCTTACTCACCCTTTACCTCCCACCAGGAACTGTTCTTTTTTTTCTTTTTTTTTCTTCAATTTAGCATTGGCTTGCAGTGGAGCTGAGTAATGTCTGTGCTGTTTGCTAGAAGACCCCCTCAAAGAGCTTTACTCCACCTGAACAAGGAGCCCACATCCTGTTGCTTTCAGTGCAGATGTGAAGAGCCCTGACCCTGCTGAGGCAGAGCAGCACTGTTCAGCTGTAAAAGGAGGGCAGACCGATTCTGGACCTACACAGGCTGCTTAGTGTGAAGTCCTGCTTGGTGGGGGATGTTGGGGTCTGCCCAGTATGCCAAAGGGTGAGGAGGTCCTGGGAAAAGGGCAGCAGCTCTGCAGAATCACAAAGCACTTTTCCTGGGAGAGAATAGCCCTGGGCAGCCAGCAGTTCTGCAGACGTGAGGCTGAGAGGAAGAACGACTTCCTCCGCCCCTCCCCGGGTCTAGCAAAGTCACGCAGAGTGCAGCTGGTTGTGAAGAGCCGATGGGTATGGTACCATGCTAGATAAAACACTAAATATGCTATTAGCAGAAAGGGACCCTCTTCCTCCTCATTCCTCTGTGTTGTGTGCAGTCCGGGCTGCAGTACTGCAGCACTCCTGTGCACGGAGGAGAAGCTGCCTGACGTACCTGCCTGCAGGCTCAGTCCCCTGCCTAGAGCAGCAGGAAATAGAAAACTGGGGCCATTTTACCCATTGTGCAACATACGAAGCAGAAAGTAGTTAAAAGGCATGTTCCCTGTCATCAGTTAAGACATTTTTGCCTATAAAAACATGATAATATTTTGCCCATAAAAACATGGTAATGTTTTTAGGCTTTTAATGCAGATTCTCCAGTTTCGCTATCTTATCAGTTGGAGTTTCCTTTAATAACACACAAGCACAGGAAGTATGTGCTGGTGCTTCCTTCTGCTTGAGAAGATCATACCCTGGACTTACTTGAAACACAATATCTTTTAACATATCCTAGGTCTGAATTGTCTGCTCTTGGGTTGCTTGGTCCTTCCAAATGGAAAGTGTTTTCGCTTTATTCTGTCTTTCCTTAGAGAACAGCGGCAAACATTAACTTCTTATAAGGGTGCAACCATGGCTCACGGCAGCAGGTGCAGAGCCATGACTGCGTCAGTGATACAGCTGCTCCTGGACCTCCAAATGTGCCCTACAGCTTGTTTTGCTTGGAGATTAAGACGTTTGGCCTGATTTCTTTCATAGTTCTTCCATCTACTTTTCTTGTTGAACACTGAAGGGCTTCAAAATATAATAGTCCCATATTTCAATCTCAGGGCCTTCATGCCTTCAAGCTTTCAGGAGAAAGGATGGTTAGCTCGTCCAAGTTCCGTTGGGAACCTGTCATCTCATGTCAAACCTTTTTTTAAGGCAGCAGTTGCACTTTGTCTGCCAACCAATAGAGAGACATTGGAGAGCAGAAAAGCAATTAGCCAAGCTGTCCATTTGCTGGCTGTATGTGCTGGGGGTATCTTTTTGCAGGACACTCGACCGTGGCCAGAAGTGCTCCAACACTACTGATAGGTCTTGGCTTTTGGGTAGGTTAGTAGGAACCAGCCAGTGGCCAAATCAAGAGAAGGTGAAGAGAAGCTTGCATACACCTTTTGTATTAGCAACTTTTTACGTACTTTAATTCTTGCACTTGGAATGTCTGAGACTATCCTATGTATATTATCTTAAAATGGTTTATGGCTGGGTGAAGTTTAAGATGTGAGGAAATAGACCAACTTGCTCAGTTGGTGATCATCAGGCTTTCATACCGCACATGATGTTTTCTGGGGGCTGAACATCCTTATTAAAGATATTCTCAGATTTGAACCTTTAAATTTCCAGGTATGTGTTTTAGAATTTAAGCATGAGCAGACAGCTGTGACTTCACAGTTAACTTTGTTACCCAGAGGTTAGATCTGTCATAGATCTGTAGCTGTGGGATGTTTTGGGAAAACTAAATTGCTTTCAGCAACATGTCTATTAATACTGGAGAAATACAGTCCAGTGTATCGGGATCCTTCTTTTATTTTTTTTCCCTTTGTTTTATCTAATATCCCTGTACAAGTTTATATGGGGAAATGTATCTTGCTGTTACTGCAATACCTTTGCTGTTTGAGAGTTTTTTTTTTTTTTCAGTGTTCTGGTGCCACCTACTGAATTCTTATTAACTGCATCCTATTTCATTGCTATGAAAATGATATAATATCATTGAATCACAGAAGAACAGGATAATGATAAACTGCTTAGAATGGCACAAAACTGCCATGAAGTTCTGTTAAAATGCCAGTGGTTATTTAGGGTAAAAAAAGGGCAACGGTGATCTAGGATTGTTATTTTCCAAACTGTTTAAGAGCTGACCCAGGTGTGAGCAGGAGGATTGGATCAGACTATCTCTTCGGGTCCCTTCCAACCTCAACAGTTTTGTGATCATGCATGGCATGTAGTATCTGTCGCCATGAGCAAGCGATAAACATCACACTGTATTTAAAACTGGATGCTTACAGAAAGCTAATTTTGGGCTTGAGGTATGATTTATGTGCTGAACTAAGATCTGGGAAGGAGAGGGAATTATTGATTTTTCAGCTGGTAAGCAGGTTGAAGAAGCAAAATCATATTATGAAACTGGAAGTGACCAACTGCTGGCTTTCAAACACCACATTTTAAAAATATAAGAAGATACTGTGAGATTGAATTGATTATGGCAAATATGATTACAACATTAGCTTTACATGGTTCTTGGCACATTAATACATATAGTTAAATTATACAATTCCTGTTAACAAATTTCCAGTCCTTACCTGAGATTTCAGACACTGAAGTGATATATGAAGATCATCTGTACTTTGGTTTCTCATCTGTAACAGAAACGTAGGGGAGGAGAACGAGTAGAAAAAGGCCAAGAAAGGAAGAGACATGATGGATGAAAGTTTGTGGACAAACTTTCACAGTTCACGTACTGTTCAACAGTATGTGAACAAGTGGAATTTTTCTCCTTTTGAAAGCCTGGCAATAGTGTTAGAGAAAGATGTCTCCAGGAAGCGAGCATGGCTTTCAAATTCGTATTTCAAAGTGGAAGATTCTAATCCTCTAAATGAGTAAAAGGTACAGTGATGAGAACAAACTTCTGTTTTGATGGACACTCCTACGAGTAGTCCTTATTCTCCTGGTTCCAGACAATTGCCATTTATTTTTGTCTCCCTTTATCCTGAGAGAAATTTCACGTTACACAAATTAAGAATGTTTTGGGTCAGGATTTCAAAACTGAGTGTAAAAGTGGGGCTTATTTTTATAGCTTGTGAAAAGGGCGTAACTCCCAGCTGAAATCAGGCAGTAGTTTATGAGAGGTTAACCTGGAGACAGAGTTCTCTAGAGGGATTCTTAATATCAGCAGGGTGGTCCAGGAAGTGTGCTGGGATTTAGAAAAGAATATTAGGTAAAGTAAAGGTCTGTTAGGAATACCGATTGTTGGATTACTGGCTTTTGTATGATGAGGATTACAGACAGGTAAGATTTTTCTTGAGAAGAGAATTAGTGTTGGTGTCTCTTCTTGCTAATGCAAAATCATGCTTTATTTGTTGATGTTACTTGTACACACTGGTGTGTGATGAAGTGAAAGATTTTGAGGGTTTTGGTTTTGCTGTCGCAAAATGCATCAATAAATATGAAAGTGCCATTTAAGTAACCCTCCAGTCTCACCTGACCTAAGAAGCATGGTTTAGAGAAAGTCATACAAACTAATGCCCTCTTTCTAATGTAGATGAGCTTCTCACCTTCATGCATTGCTCACTCAGTCGTATTTTTTCCTCACTAAACAGCAGGAAATGAAACTGCAACATCTTCCAGCACTCCCCCCTCCCCTACGCCCGCACGCTCCACGTCACTCTCACCTTCAGGCACCACTAAAGGTAATACTGAAATTTGGGACCATGGCACTGCTACTCTTCGGTTTCAGCTGAAGTGACATCTACTTCTATCAAACATTAACTCTATCACTGTTAAAGCAATCCGGTGGTTTAGGTTGTGCGAGGCCAATTATACTGCAGCAAAATTTGTTAATATGATGAAGACATATGTAGTTTTATTTATTTATTATTTTAATTAATTCAAGTGTGGAAATTTGAAGGCATGCGTTTTAAAGAAAGCAATCACAATTCCAGCTGCAACATGCTGTTATGGGTTTGTGTTTTCCTTATGGACACCCCTTGCCCTTGAGCTCCCAGCTGAGGATTTCACCCTGAGCTCTCACAGTGCTACTTACCACTGCACTTACCTCAGGCGCCACAGTGGTATCTGAGGATCTGTGGGAAGAAGGTCCTTCCAGATCAATAGCATGAAACAAAACAGCCCCAATCACGTTGTGCTTTCTGCAAGCTGCGTGTTAACTCACCCCCTTTAGCTGGTGTTCTCAAACACCTGAAGTCAGTACATCCCCCTTACCTTGCTAAAGGATTGTCAAATCTCATTGCCACAAAGGCATCCCAGAGAAATTGGTAGGAATTTGGCACTTCATGGTTTTGCAGACCTCATTGTAAGCTACGCTCTTGGGATAAATCCAAGCAGGTGTGTTACACGCTCTGTGCAGGAACTGGAGAGCAATGCAAACTTGTTCTTGCCAGTGCTGGAGGGAGGCATTTGATTCAGAAGACAAGTGGTAGTCTTTCTGCTTGAAATGAACTTCTCATGATCACACATTGCTCACTCAACGATATTTTTTCCTCACTGTTTAGCAGGAGATGAAAATCAGGCACCTACCAGCTCTTCCCCCTCCCCTTCGTCACCTCCACCCTCCACGTCACTCTCACCTGCAAGCACCGCTAAAGGTAACCATGAAGTCAGGACCGTGGCACTGCTGCTCTTCTGTTTCAGCTGAACCAGCATCTGCTGCAGCCTTCCTGAAACTATGTCCATCCTTCCGGATGCACAGCAGACTCCCTGCTCAAGGAAATGGGACTTCTAATATGGAAAATTAGAGCCTACATACATCTATATACTTGATGTTTTGGGGGTCTAGTAGTTGCTTTAGAATAAAGTTTTAAAGTTTAGAATAGAGTTTACTTTAGAATAAGTAATTCTCTGGGGAAAGCTCTGCTGATAGGAGGAAAGAATGTTTCTTTTTATTTAAAAAAATTAATCTCATATGGTTGCCTGTGATTCCTTGAAAAATGTAATTTACACATTTTCTCTTTGTCTTTTCCAGGAGCTCAGAACGTGACAACACCAACTAGTAAGAAACTTTTAATTTACATTAAGAAATTCACTGACACTTTTTTCAGGTTGTTTCTTCTTTCCATTTCCTGTGTATAATTGTCTTGTGTAATGTGTGCAATACATATAATGCTTTTTCATTCAGCCCAGTGAAATGAAATACACTGTTTTAAGAGGGAAGAATATCAAACCAGTTTGGTTCTGAGTCATGTACTTGAGTGTATTTAAAACCTAGCATTTGTCATGGAAGATGTGCAGTCCGTGCCATAAGGATGTTCGGTTGCCACCTGTTGTTCTCCCTTACACCATGACCCTTGTGCATTCAGCGTACCTTTGATTGCCCCAAACGCACAGTGCCTCAGCGCAGGAGAGCTCCCAGTGGGGCTGTCCTGTGCTGTTTGCAGTTTTGCTTCGTTCTGTGAGTGGGTGACCTCCGAAAACACTAATGAAACCGCCGTTCCTCTTGCCACAGGTGGCATCCCCCTCAAACAGCACACACCTCTCCACGCACGCAGGCTCCGACCCAACCACGGACCCAGCAACTCACCACACAGCAGCCCTGCTGCCCTTACCACACGCACTCCCACTGCCTCAGTCATGCTTCATCAGGTTTGCCGACTTCTTTTAGGTGCCACATGCTGCACTCTGAGCTGTAGGGAAACTGAGTAATTTAGCCTCAGGGTAGCCTTTTCCAGTTTGCAGTTCATCAAATGGAATCGGTACCTGCAATTCAGCATAGTAGCCAGAGCCAAATTATTTTCAGGATCTGGTGTCCGATGCTCAGATCTTGTAATTACCTCAGTAGCATCAAAACTCGTAGTACTGTCAACAAGGTTGTTGCCAAAGCAAGAATGGGAACGGACCTAAGAGAATAGAGAAACCCATCCGAGGCTTATAAGCAGGGAGATAAATACTAAGATATAGTAAGTGATACAATGAGCAATGTGTCTTATCTGGCATTTAAGCATTACTGGATTGCTTGTTTCTGAAAGAGGCACAGGCACTGTTCATAATTGTGCTGTACTGTCAGAACATAGCAGAATGTTTTAGTTCCTAGTTCACAATTACTAGGTAGTTCTTACTCTGTCTGTTCTACGCTGTTGACTCCAATGCAGATTATGCCTAAAAAAAAAAAAAAAGGAAATAAAAAAAATTTGTGTACATTTCAAAGATCATTAGTAAATGCTATATTCCTAAAAGTTTGCTTTCTCTGTATGTAACATATTTTCTCATTTTCTGGACATGATCATATGAACATGAACATGATATATGAACATGATCTTTCCTTCAGCACTCTTCTCTAACTTACAAAAACCCTGGAAGGAAAAAAAGGGGGAGGAGGGAGTGTAGCGTAAGACATTACTGATGATGTAGCCATATGAAATAGTGAATTTTGCTTTTTTTAATGCTGATATATTGTTTATTTCCTTACAGATGATAACAAAACAACATCCTTGCACAGCACCACCTCACCAGTCAGCATGCCAGCAAGCACGGGGACCACCCCCAGTCATACAATAGGTGACAAACTTGCACACAGTTGTCGCAATTATCACACTGCAACCACAGAAAATGTGTTAGAATGAAATAAATAATCTTGATAAATATTTTTAAGTCATACAAATTAGGTATGCAAGTAGGCATACAACTGCATCAAACTTAATGTGTTTTTTTTTTAAGCAATATTATTAATATTTTAAGAGTAGGATTAGAGGCACCAAATTTACTGCTTGTTAAGGAAGTGAAAAACATAAACTGTTTCCATGGAGTGGCATGGTAGGAAAGTGAATCTGTCCAATTACTCAGTCAATATTACTCTCCTCGTTACTCATAGAAGTTTGCTAAAGCAGCAAAAACATGAGATTACATCCAGCAACCTGTGAACTTCTGTTTTCCAATGGCTTCCCTGTTGTTTCACTCAGCATTAATATTTTCTTGGGGCCTAATATATGAAGCATTTACATGTATTGTTGTGGCAGTTGTGCTGTAAGGAATTATTCAGGTCATTGAGGTGGGTGTGTGTGTTTGAGTAAAGTACATCCAGGTGTTTGTCTCCTGTCATCTTCATAACTGCTCTTCAAGTAGCTGTAGGCTGTCATAAACTGTCTTCTTTCACAGACTGAGCTTAGCTTCTACCTGTGGGTCTCCTGCCCTGAGCCATCTTGGCCCCTCTTAGCTAACCCTCTCATTAGGGGCACTGCTCAGCCATCCGGTTCCTAGGCCAGAGGGAATAGACAAATCCAAGACACTTCTGTGAAGAAAATTAGATATCTGTCTTTTGATAGTACTCACACCTTAGTATATTTTAAATAATTGGTTGCAGGATGAAGTTTTTTTGCACAAGCTTCTGTACAGATTTCCTAAATACCAGCTCTTAATTTCTTCTGGATGTTCCAGTGTAACAATAGCTGTAAAATGATCTGTACTCTTGAATTAGTCTGTTTCCAGATACACGAGTAACTATGCATAAAGTAGATAAAATGTGTTTCTTTGGTGACATTGGAAAGTGCTCGCTTAGGCATTCCATAGCATTCGTATCCCAGCAAACTGCTGTAGCTTATCATACCACTGCGAGAACGTGATTTTGGAATATTCTTGTGTAACTTTGTATGCTGAAATAGTATGAAAAAACAGTTTGGTATCATTGGAGAATGATGAAATGCACATGACTAAAATAGCTTGTAGAAGAATTGGTATGTATGTGGCCCCTTTTTCAAATACGAATAGGGTGCTGAATACAATTACTTGTAACGTGTTGAATGAAGAGTACCAGTTTAGGCAGTACCTAGTAGTCTTCCTCTAATGCTCTGTGAAAATCATACTTGCTGAAGTACACCTTCATTTTGTTTTCTTTTCTTATAGAAAGTCCCTCAGTGCCAACTGAAGAACCTTGTGGTAAGAACCAAACCCCTTATTTATCTCAGCCCTGATATTTGAACATATCAGTAAACTCAGGGAAAATTTATCACTAAAACAAATGAGCTACCATTTCAATTTGCTTTATAAACTGTCTCATGCTTCTGAAAGATTTGCATTAAAGTTATTAACAGTTCTGATCTTCTCATCTTCATTTAGAATTCTGTTGAGTTTTTGAACTAGGCTGTCAATGGAAGGGCTGCAGTAGAGATCTGCTTTCATTCAACTAGGCTCTCTCTAACTTTTCCCCATACTGCCAATGAACACATGCTGCAAACTGCAGTTCATAACTATAGTAAATCCAAAGCTTGGATATTGGTTTCTTTTCTTCAAAATGAGAGAGCTGTCCCCTCTCCAGTTTTCAGAAGTGGCTTTTATTATTTAATGGTTATGAAATGTTTTAAATGAGAAAATCTGAAATTTCTGGACAAACAAAGGATTCAATGTGTCAGAATAAAATATTTCACTTTGAATTGACATTTTAAATAAAAAAAAAAAGTAATTCTGGAATGTTAATCTTTTTAATTCTTTGGTTTCCCTTACTAGAGAATGACTTAAAACAATATTTTCCTAAGGAAATTTTCTCTTTTAAATATTTTTAAGGTAACAAATAACATTAAAAATAAACGAGGCAATTTTGCTGTATTTTCTGATTCTTTAACACCTGTGATGCTGGGGATACCAGCTACCACAAAACATTTAAGAGTCCTTAAAATTGTCATGAAATGATTGTTTGCTTTTTTATCCTTCTCTTTTAGATCTAATATATCCTACATCACAGAAATGGAACAGATGAGGAAAACATGGTTGAAGTTACACTGAAGAATCTCAAAAACAACACAGAATATATTTTGTTCAGTGGTGATATGGAGTCACGGGTGGATGTCAACAACAACACAGCAAAACTTAACAGATGCAAAATATATACACTTACATCTAACAACCACACATGCAAAAGTATAATTATTCCACCTGGTAGGTATAGAAGGGTCTTAGTAATTCCTCCCTCCTCCTCCCTCTCCTCCCCTCCTTCCTTCCTTCTTCCTTCCTCCTCCTTCCTTCCTTCCTTCTCCTTCTTCTTCCTTCCTTCCTTCTTCCTTCCTTCCACACGCAGTAATAACGCTTTCATGGACTTCATAGTCTATTCTTGTTTTTACAGAGAATCAGACAGAGGTTTTCATGTAAAAAATACAATTTTTTCATTGTAAAGGAAAAGTGAACTTCATCTGCATCAGTCATATGCAGCATGGCTAGCAATAACAAGGCTGGCCAGCACTTGAGAGCTACTATCTATGTTGGATGTTTTGTTCACTAAAGTTATTGCTTTTGTTGAATTGAAAGTTTCATTTATGATTTGAATACAACAATCGTTTTTGTCTAATGAATACTTTTTAAATTTCATCTTCTTGTTAAATTCTTTGCATATCATTTTGTGCCAATTATATCTTCATATTGCAGAACAAATTAACAAATATAAGAACAAATTGATATTTAAAGAATCAATACAACTAATGTCACATTGCTATTGAATATTAATCCTTTCTAGATAAAAGCCACTGTTCTTTAGAAAAGAAGATTCTTAACAGCACATCCGTACAGTTCTGTTTCAAAAACAATACCTCAGATACAGATTGCTCAGGTGCCTGTAGTAATGTGAGTGTTAGCTGTGAAGGTAAGACACTTCTAACATAATTTAAAATGCTTATTTATTTATTTGTTTATTTATTAAGCAATATAGATGTTGTCTTTGGATGAGACTGGCAGGTTTCATTAATTGTGCCAGCATGAGGGAAGAGATGTTCAGAATTTCTGGAGTGGGCAGGTTAGGAACTACCATTCCACACACTGCAGAAGATCTGGGGGAGAGTTCAAGCCCAGAGAGCTCATTCCTTTAGTTTACCAGCTTCACAAATTGCAGACTTTTGGAGGTGTTGAGCTCCTGCTTGATGGCCTGAAGGGAGCTGAGAACTTGGAAATCCGAGTGTCTCCTGTGAGCTGCTCCCTTGCAGACAAAGTGGGCAGCTGGCTCTGCAGGCTCGTGAATAGCTGAGTACAGACACTCTGTGCTTGGAGCTTGTCAGCCTTGGAGACTGCGAAAACATCAGCTTAAAGGCAAATGGTGTGGTAAAGAAGATATGTATGCTCCATATCCCCATGTTCTAGAAAAATGCACGACAAATATTCTCTTCAATGTTTTTATCAATGACCTGGACACAGGAGTTGTGTGCATACCAAGTACGTTTGCAGATGATACTAAACTGGAGGAGCTGTCACTTGCCTTGAGGGTAGACAGGTCTTGCAGAGAGATCTTGACAGAATAGAGCATTGGACAATCATCAATTGTATGAAATTTAATGCTGGATTTTGCACCTGGGATGGTGTAATCCTAGTTATATATAGTCTGGGGAACAAGTTGCTGCAGTGCAACCCTCTAGAGAGGGATCTGGGGGTTTTGGTTGATGGTAAGCTCAAAACAGGTCAACAATATGGCCTGGTTACCAAAAAGGCCAACCGTATTGTGGGGTGTGTTAAGCAATATATAGCTAATCACTTGAAAGAAGTGATTGTCCCACTCTGCCTAGCATTGGTATGGCCTCACCTTGAGTACTGTGTGCAGCTTTGGGGTCCACAATGTAAAAGGGATATAAAAAGGAGTGTTAGTGGGAAAGTAAAGATCTATGCAAACTGAATTGATGTAAAAAACCTAGAACTCAGTCACTTGGGTTCACTAGGTCGTACGCTTTTCGTTTTGGATATTCTGGTAGTGTACTAAAAATTATGTTGAATAAATATGGTAGATAGAATCCTAGTTAAGATGGTATAATATATTTTAGATATGATTTGATATACTTTCAGATATATGATATATTTTAGAGTTGTGAAAAATATGGGTAAGCCATTTTTGTGTCTACTTTCCAGAATATCTTGGCAGTCAAATGGATCTTGCGTATTAATGACCAATTTACACCCAACCATCCTTTCAAATGCAAACAACAGTAAAGTATTCTGGAGAAGAGTTTGTCCTCGATTCCTTCAATACAGAAACAGAATATGATGGCAAGTATAATGCTTAATTTTGCTTTGCATTCCACATATTTCTAGAAACACCCATTGCAAATCCAACTGTCTGTGCTTCCTGGAGGATAAGATAAATCTTGAGCAGCATGCTCAGCCCTCAGGTTCTCCTCCAGCTCTTATCACCTCATCTCCTGTATTTATGGTAGTTCTTTGACCACAGTCACAGTTGTCCTTTCTCCCTCCAACCCCAGGCTCAGACCTGCAGTCTCAAACCTTCCTCTTCTTCCCTAAGAGACTGTGAACTTTTTACTTTAAGGATGAGAAAGTGGCAAAATGTAAGCAATTTTCAATGAAAGTGAAGACAAAAAATAAAAATTGCAGCCCTAGAGAAAACAAATATACAAACTCTTGCTTGTGAAGAAAGATGAATAGAATAATTGCAAAGTATGTCTCCAGATAAAATGATAAAGTATTATACAGTATTGTCCTTGGAAATGGCTTAGCATTATTTATCAATTAAACAGAAAATCACCTTAAATCAAGTAACCTGCAATGAAAATTTCAGGATAGAAATTTAAAGTTGGTTAAAATTATAAGGAAATCAAAACAATGTATAATAATTGCAATTGTTGAAGAATTTTAGTAAGATGTGATGTTGCTGTATTCACCTATATCCTGAATTGATTAAATTTATGAAGTACTCTAATTTGATGCTGTATATGTACTCTATAAGTGTATAATTTCTCTGAATGAAATAGACTATGCAAAATCTTACGTTATTGCTATCTTGCTTAATATCCAATGAAATTGAGTTTAATTAAAATAGAAATAAAATGGAATATTTTGCATTTTCATTCTAACTTTTCCCTCCTATCCATTTTTTTTTAAACAACAAAACAAACAAACAGCTCCAGAAGCACCAGAAAATCTTACAATAGAAATTTCTGTCAAAAGTGTAACAGTTAAATGGACACCACCCAGCAAGAAAACTCTTATACATGGCTATTATATAAACTGCAATGGCACTGTTAACAACAGTAAGTATATCCTCTGCTGGTACAAAATAATTCCTCACATGTTTTAATATTTAGTGGGCACCAAGCATGAGGCAGTGTCCAAATATATTGGAATTTCTTAAAAATGTCCAGTAAAAACACTAAATTATTATTATTGTTGTTCTACAAACCTTTTTTAAAAGTTTCTTTACTTTGAGGTTGCTCCAATTCAACTATGTGGTTATTCAGTTTATTGTTTCAGGACATCACTGTCATCCTTCATTTCTCAAGTATCTTGCATTAAAATGTGACCAGATAATCAGTTGCCTGATCAGTTTTTAGAAAGGTGTTGTCTGCCTCAGAAAATGACCTTTAGCTTGCTCATTTATTCTCAGAGAAAATATATTATCATCTAAAAGTTTTAATTTTTCACAAATCAGAAGATCAGAAGTTTGTGGGGAAGTGGAATAATTTTCTCGGTGAAAACTTTTATTTTTATTTTTTAGAAAGTTTAAGGACAATTAATACAAACACTTTTAGCAGTTAACTTCCCTTAGGATTTTTCTTCCCTGTTTCAGCTTAACATAGTAAGCTTGGTGGTTTCTAATAAAGCAACACTGAACCTATTTATTCCTCCAAGAATGATAACAGGAACTGAATTTCTAAGAAGGACTATGGATCTGTGTACACTTACTGAAATGGTGGGAAGAGCAGAAAGGGAGCCACCTTTTGTGTAACATTAACGTTATAAAAGTCAGAGGGTCCTAATTACAGAGGGTGGCATATTCATGCTTACAGAGGTAAAGCCAGGTACTTGTCTTCTACTAAGCATTCTCTCCTTTCATATGTGCTGTTTCTGTGGTTAGTCTGGCTTGGCCAGTGTAGGAGACCTAGGTACTATGCTCGGGTGTGAGGAGGTCTCATCTGAAGCAGCTGTGCTTCGTGGAGACATCAAAAAGCCATTGCCCCAGGCCACCAAAGCCCCAGCTGCACTGTAGGTAGTAGCTTTGCTCATGCTGCTCCTCGGACAATACCTTTGTGTCCTGCTTGCCACCACTGAAAGCAGATGGCATCTCCTGCATCATTACCAGAACAAGCTTGTCCAGCGTGCAGAGTGACTTCAGACATTTATCTAGT